CATTGCTAGATACAGAGGATTCATCAAGGGTAATGGAGGAAATGGGGGGGAAAAAGAAAAAATTAAAACCCCTTTACTCTCAGGGCTAGCAGCATTTCAATGACCTTGAGCATGGCCTTGAATTTATTAAGTACCAGCTTCACTCAAAAGGATGATGATCAGCCCCTGGAAGCATTTTAGATTGAACAATGTTCCACTACATTTTCTATTTTTTAAGAACCAGAGTGGCGTTAAACTGAGATCCTCAATTCCCCACTTAATTCAATAATGGCAGCCAGTATTACAAACAGCCTTTTCTCCTTATCTTTCCTCACTCTCACTGTGCTATTTAGAAGCTTCCTGTCCCACCAGTCAGTTTCAGTTCAGCAGATGCTGTTCTGGATTTAGAAGGTGGGCAGGAAGGGGGAGTCCTGTTAATCAGCAAAATAACAGCTTTCTCACAAAAGCAAAGGAAATTAGTATGACATTGTTTTTCCCAGTTTAGGTCTTAAACTTAACTGTCATTTTCACTTCTTAGCAGTTCTCAGAGGTAAGTCACATTCATCTCCCATGGCCTAATGGAAAACACATTCAAAAACTGCAACAGTGTCTCCTGCGTTTATATCTTCCATCCAGCTCTCCAAAGCTCTCAGACACAGCCATCAGGGTGCTGACACCAGAATGAGCTGAATTGCACAAGCACCATGCTATCCTGCTGTGCTGAGTGTGCAGCCACACACAGCTGCAACAGGAAGCACTCAAAATCTTCAGGGGCAAGAACAATGTGCTCCATTAGGTCCTACATGCTGACAACTCAGCAGTCAGCACTGCTCTAGAAGGCAACTTCTGCATAACGGTAGTTTTCCAAAGCATTTACGAAAGAATGAAACTCCCTGAGTTGGAAGGAACCCATAAGGAGCCCTGAGTACAACTCCTGTCTTCACGCAGGACACCCTTATGCAATGCATCATGAATGCTTTTCGTTAGGAGGTTTATTATATTTAAAACTCTAGATTAAAAGAACCATCAGAAAGGTGGTGCTGCCCCAGCCCCAACAACTGATCCCAGCACATGCGGCCTGCCCAGTGAATGCATGAGGAAACAGATAATAATCATTAACTCCACACAAAGCTTCAACAAACACGCAGCGTGCCTGCAGAAGGAACTACAGCACACAGAATACCCATGTAATCTCTAATTACTGCTAGCCCTCAGGTGCGGTATTCTCTCATTTATAAATGAAGCACTACACAGCTTATTGGGACCCCCTGTTCTCAAGCAGTCCCCAGGCTCTCTGGATTACAGGCCACTGCCATCGAATCTTCCACCGACCAGAAGCCTGGCTGTGCCTAAAGCATCTCTCTCGAAATTGCTGCCTCTAAATATCAGGCTACAAGAAAAGGTTTTTGCGGGGGAAAAAAAAGAAAAACAAAACAACAAAACTAAGAACAAGAGAGGTTCGTCTGCTTAGGTAACTAAACCCCCCTTCAGGAGACAACAGCAGTCCCACCTCCTGACTACAATGAGGATTTGGGTCACGCTTCAGTCAAAAAACAACGCGACGGGCCGACGCTGCAGTGACGGCCCCGGCCCCGAGGCCATTTTCTCGCTCGCCCCCCCGCCCCGCCCTGAGGAAAGCCCCGCTCTGGGCGGGGCCCGCGGGAAGCGCCTCCGCCGGAGCGGCGGCGGCCGAAGGCAGCTCCGCCCCGCGGCGCCGCCAATCACCGCCCGCTGCCGCCGCGACCTCGAGGGCTCCGGCGGCCCCGCCCCGCTCCCCCCGTTCCCTTCCCCCCACCCCGGTCCCGGCGGAGCCGCTTACCGTCCCGGGACGTGCCCATGAGCTGGTCCAGCATGGCGCGCATCTGGGCCTGCGCCGACATCTTGAGCGCGCGGGGGCGGCCCGGCCCGGCCGAGTCACGCCGACTCCCTGCGGCCTACAAGGCCTGAGGCTCTCGGCCCTCCCCCTCGCGTCACTCTCGGACTCGCGCGGCGACGCCGCCGCCGAGGGCGAAGCGGGCGCTGCCTGCGGCCGTGCCGCGGACGGAGGACGGAGCGCGAAGCCCGCCCCGCGCCGGACCCGCTGCTGCCGCCGCCTCCCCTCCCCCCGCCTCGCCGCCCGCTTCCTCTCACGCCTGCCACGCGCGCGCGCCAGCGCTAACGGAAACCCGCGCGCACGCGTCGTGCGCCCCCCCTTCACCCGCTCCGCGACGTCATCGCGGACGGAGCCTTTGGCACCCTCTGATTGGCCGCCGCGCGCTGTGACGCGCGGCGCGGCGAGGCCGCCGATTGGGCCGGGCGGCTTCTCGCGCGGTGATTGGGCGGGCGGCTCCGCGCAGGCGCCGTGAGGCACGGGCTCGGCGGGCGGCCCTGAGGGGAGCCCGCCCCGTCGGCGGGTGCGCGGCGTTGGGCCTGGCGGCGGCGGGCGCTTTGTTGTGCCTTCAGCCGCCGTGTTGCCCTCTAGCGCCCGGCCGCAGCCGCCGACTGGTAGAGGGACCGGCTCAGCTGTGAATCTGCCGCCCGCAGCCAGGGGACGCGTTACACTGTCAGACTTTGCTCGGTGCAACCGAAAGAAAAGGCGACACAAAAAGCCGCCCCGCCCCAGTCGGGATTCAACACGAACTGTGGGGAAGGTGCAATGAATCCGCACAAAAGTAGTCCTTACAATGCGTTTGTGGAAGAATTCCTGGCCCGGAGCTCCTCAGGCAGTCTGAGCATGCCCTGGATTTATTGTTTCCTTTGTCAGATTTGGTTTTGGTCGTCATTATGGTATACGAGAGGTGTTGGACGAGGTGAATCCTCAATCCACTCAGAAAGTAAAACAAACCAAAAACCAAAAGCTTTCCCCTTGTTCAGCTGGTGAGGCTGCAGAACTGCCAATGCAATTTATAGCCTACAAAACCTTAGGCTTACAGCGTGCATCTTACCTGACCCACATCACCCAGATCTCCCCGGCCATCTGCTGTGCCCATCTCCTGTGCCTTGAGGCTGGGCTGGTGTTAATGATAGCATGTGGATTTAGGTAGTTGGATCAGGTGTATCCTCAGCAGTTTGCAGATGACACCGAGCTGCGTAGTGTAGTTGACACACCTGAGGATTCCACCATGCTCAAGCAGTGGGTCCAGGAGAACCTGAGGTGAGGTTCAACAAAGCCAAGTGTGTCTGCACATGTCAACCCCCGCTACCAGTACAAGCTGGAGGATATAAGGATGGAGCACAGCCTGTGTGAAAAGGACTTGGAAGTAATGGACATGAGTCAGCAGCGTGCCCTCACGGCCCATTAAACCAACTGAAAGCTGCATCAAATGGAGCATGGTCAGTAGGGAGACAGAGGTGATCCTGCCCCTCTGCTCTGCACTGTGAGATCCACTTGGAGTGCTGCGGCCAGACAGGAAGTCTTCATTATAAAGAAGACGTGGATCTGTGGGAACACATCCAGAGGAAAGTCATGTAAGTGATCTAAGGTTTGGAATGCCTCCCTATGAGGACAGGCTTAGAGAGCTGGGGCTATTCAGACTGGAGAAGACTCTGGGGAAACCTGAGAGTGGCCTTTCAGAATCTAACAGGGGCTTGTAAGAAGGGGACAGACTCTTTAGCAGGGTAGTGACACTGGGGCAGGTTGCCCAGAGAGGTGGTAGTTGCCCCATCCCTGGAGACATTCAAGCATCAGGGTGGGGGTGCTCTGAGCAACCTGTAGTTGTCCCTGTTCATTGCAGGGGATTTGGACTGGTTGGCCTTTAAAGGTTCCTTCCAACTCAAATTCTGATTTTATTAGACAAAGCTATTTTGTGTGCAGTGCTTCCTGATAGCATACTGTTTTCCCTGGTAGTAGAGCCAAAAGAAGCACTCTTTTGTTAGTGTCATTTTAAGCTCCTCCCCAATTACAAACAAGCCTCACATTCTTATCCACTGTAAGTTACCCCGATTAAAGATTTCTTACACGTATTGCACAGAATTTGAGGCTCTTGTGAGAAGTGGGCAGCAACAATTGGAGCTACTATTTCTCTTCTGATAAAAAAAATGATTCACTGTTCCAGATTGTGAGAAGGGAGAACAGTGGTATTATTGTGACTATAGCTCATTGTTACATGATTTATACGAGGGCTGCTTGAAAGTAATGCCTCCTATTTTATTATGTTGGCTCATGACGTCAGAGCAGATGTTGGTGGCATGGCAGTAGAAGTTGCACCCTCCCACCAGCATTCCATTACATTTTGTTGCTTTGAGACAGAAGGGCAATCAGAGAGAATGGCGTCTAACATGGAAGAGAGCATGAAGCAAAGGTGTGTCACTGAATTCCTCCATGTGGAAAAAATGGCACACAGTGACATTCACTCATCTTTGCTGAATGTTTATGGAGACCACACAGTGGATGTGTGCACCATGATGAGGTGAGTGCTGTGTTACAGCAGAGGCAACAGTGATGTGAAAGACCAGCCACGTTCCAAATGGCCATGCAGATTTCTATGAGCATGGCACATAGGCTCTTGTTTATCGTTGGCAAAACTTTATTGCATATGCATATGTTGAAAAATGGTGTTTTGTATCTGAGAATTTGCTCTATCAAACAGTGCTATTGTGCTCTTTGTATCTGCTGTAGTTTCCATGGAAATAAATAGGAAGCAGTACTTTAGTGCCAATATTTGGTACAACCAGCAGCCATCAGGTCTCCATTTAATGAAACACAGAAGACCTGCAGTCTCAATCACCCAAGTCCAGGACACTGACAAGGAATTCATTCAGCTGCATTCTCTCTAACTTACAACCAGCAGCTGTGGGTCAAAGTCTTCAAACTGAATGTTTTTGCTGCAGCAGTGCTCACCCTCCAACACTGTAAAGATAGGGCCTTTGCTCTCAAAGGAATACAGAATTCCTCACGCAATGGGAAATTCTGAAGTCCTCTGACCTACAAGATCAGGGGAAGAAAACAAACACGTTTATACCTCCTTAAACAGTTGGTGGCGAGTCCGGGCTTCGGCTCTGATACCCCCAACCCGAAGCGGACACAACACACAAGCCAGAAGGCAGCTCCACAGCCCAGGGCGTTTATTCGGCACCGAGCAGCAGGCGGCACGGGACGGCCTCAGCCCTTCCCCCCCGGCTGCCGGGGCAACATGAAACCCACCAGCCCCGCCACCTCCTCGGGGGATCGCTCCCCGCGGCCGTGGTACTCGCGATGCAGGGCCTGGTGCTGCCGCACGCTGCGCAGCAGGCACAGGTAGGTGGCGGCCTGGAAGTGCAGCTCCTGCTGGGCCCGGCACAGCTTCTCACTGGTCACCTGCGGGGAGAAGCAGCAGAGGCCCGGAGATAGCGGCGGGAAAAGGGCGGCGGGGGAAGGGCCCGGAGGCCGCCTCTCCACCCGCGCCGTACCCGGTGAGCGCGGAAAGCGGCGAGGACGTGCCGGTAGGCTGCCGTGTCGCGATAGGCGCGACCGCTGACGTGTCGCAGCTCGCGGAGCAGCCCGCGCAACGTCTGCAGAGGAGAGCCCAGCGCCGCCATCTTCCCGCTCCTCGCCCTCCGCCAATCAGCCGCCGGCGACGCGCCGCAGCGACCAATCAGAGAGCGGGCGGCTCGCGCAGTTTTCCGCCCATCAGCAGAGGTCAGATGCCGAAGGTCGAGCGCCCCCGTCGGCCGTTGGGCGGAGCGACGCGCGATCACGGGTTTGAGGGGCGCCGGAAGCAAAGCAGCCGCCGCCCACCCGCTGCGTCACGAGGCTGGATGTCGAAGCGCGTGGTGTGAACGCTGCGTAATGAAAGCGGCTCAGCTGCAGATGGTGGGCATCCGCCTTCTCTGCTAGGCCTACAATAGGGTCGCGAAAGCCGCATTCAGGTCGTTATTAGAACAGCTCCCACTCGCCCCCTGTTCAGCCGTCGAGGCGCCACGCCGCCACCGCGCATTAGAAAACGGAGAGCAATGGTACAGTTAGGTGGAAAGGAGGAAAAAAAAGATCACCCCAGATGGGACTCGAACCCACAATCCCTGGCTTAGGAGGCCAATGCCTTATCCATTAGGCCACTGGGGCTGCCACGAGAAAGAGCTTTTTCCGGCGCCTACTTGTCCCCTACCTCCTCCCCTCTTCCTTTTATAGTTATTATCTAGCGAGCGCTGATTGGGCAGCACCTCCGTCCCACCTCCCTGCCACGGAGCCTTCTGGGAGCCGTTAGGCCTTCGTTCGCCTGCGGCTCTGGAGCGCGGTGGGCCAGGCGGGGTGTCGTTCTGAAGCGCTGCCGGCCTCCGGGACGTCCTTTCCCTCTGCGGTTGGTCGGCTCAAGAAAGCCGTAACAATGCTCCCCGCTCGAATTCACAACAAAGGAAAATCCCACAATAAGCCCAGAGCAACGGCCCTTTACGAGATGTGCTTTTCATCTTTAATTTTGTGAGAAATCACACAGACAGGGCTCTTATGTACATTCCTCTTTATTTAATACAGCACAGACACGTAACAGATAAAAAAGAAAACACTCATGAAAAAGCCTGTCGCCATCAAGGACAGGGCACAGCTACACCCAACTGCGTAAGGCTCCTACTGCAGAACAGGGCCTGCTGCCTAAACGTGGAGCCCAGAGCAAAACTGCTGCCAAAAAGTCTTCTGCTTTCAGGAAAGCAGAATGGAGAAGGAAAAAAAAAAAAAAAAGAAAAGAAAAAAAAAAGAGCGAAAAACCCTCCAGGAATAGGTGAAGCAGGTGGCACCTGCAAGGCTTCTTGTAGGACACAAACACTGCTACCTGTTTGGACCAAAGCACTAAGAAAAGAAACGTTCTGCAGCTGTTCTTGCAGAACGCCCAATAACCCCGACTTCTGAACATGCCACCTGTCTCAGGGATGGAAACCTGAGCATCTGGAAGGAGTGAAAACACAGAGTAGTCATAAGAGATTTAATTAGTTTCCCTGATAGGGCTTTGCCCGTCACAGCTGGGAATGTGCAAGAGAACAAACCGGCTTCCCAATTAAAAAACTAATAGTCATTGAACTGACCAGAACTGTACATGTTTGGAACCAACGCAGGCTTTTGTGGCAGCAGCTTCTTCCTTCTCCCTCTTCAGTTCAGGATGGAAATTAAGCAGGCACCAGTTCCTCTGGCAAAGAGCCTTACACGTTTTTTAAAAATTAAAATACAAAAAAGGGAGACAGGTGTATTTACAAAATCCATGGCTGGTACAGTACATCATTTTTAAGACACACTAAATGCTACAATCTTTCAGGTCCTGAGATTATTACGAAAAAAAAAAAAAACCAACAACTCAAAACTTGTGTTCAGGTCCAGTTTTATAAGGAGAGAGGAAGGAAATCACACATTTAAAACACAGTATTCCTTGACGTTAGTGGAACACACCTCTCTAAAAATCCAAAAGAAAGTGGTGCTAATCACCCAGCCGTAGCTGCGTTTGGTTGTTCAGGCTTGCGGTCACAAGAGGGGAGCATTTCACAGGGGAGTTTCTCTGGAGAGCAAGCCAGGTAAGCACCTGGCTGTGAGAATTCTGATACTAAGCCTTACGATCTGAATTAGGCAAGTATTAAAAAGCAGGAAGGTGATCCAATGCAAATTCACACTAAACTGAGTAGAACATCACAGGAATCACCAATTCAAAGAGGTCTGCCATCTTGCACCACTTTGCTTAGGGCAGAGGTCTATGAAGAACGCCAGTTTTGTTTGTAAGACAAGTGGCCAACTGTTTCAAGCTACACCAAGAAAGGCAGGAAAATGTTTTGCTCACCATTTTCTCTGCTGTTGACTTTACATAGCTTCCTTCATTCACCTGGGGATCAGCAAGTCAGATGGGGTTAAGCTGATTATATTTAAACTTGCTCAAAGTACATATCCTACATGTGACAACAAAGAGTAGAGGCTAGACTTCTGTCAGTGGGAGGACCCCGCTGCCACTAGCTGGGTAGGCAGGGATTTATTTGAAAGCTCTGCTCTTGATTCAGCCTCATCACCAGGCAGAACTGCAGGGACTTGCATCCACACCTGTATCTTCAATGAAATATTCTGAACATCGTGCTTTCGTATCACCAGAAGTTATAATCACAGATGCCCTTTTATTATAAGCAACCTGACTTTAAGCTAGAATTACTCGTAATTACTCGTGAAATGCTTCTAACCCTTGGTAAGAAGGCTACAAAAGACAAATCACAGAACAAGGGTACTAATTTAACAGCTAAAATATAACTGCTCAGTAGACTTTTTGGAGAAAATAGTAGTGATGAATTTCGTATTTTTTTTTTTTTTAAATAGTAGTCCAAAAATAGTATTTCTCCATCTATTTTCAACAGAGATCTGAGAACAATGCAAGAACATGGTACTAATTGCTACATGATGGAATTACCGGCCATAATACACACACTACAGTTCTCACCTCTGAGCTAAACTGTTATTTGTAGTTACAAACAATACTAAAAGATCAGTCAGGAATAGCGGGGGAATCACAATTTTGCTTTTATTTGAAGATCCAGCTACTGTGTAGCTCATACCTGCCCTTGTTTAGAAACAACTTCATTTAACTGAGAAACTGATTTAATTCACTTCTGATAGTGGAAGGAAACACAGGATCTCATTATCTTCTCCCCGTATCCAATCTGCACATTAATAAACAACATCAACTACGACTTCTTAAAACCGATTTTGAGAGCTGACTACTCCAAAAGCTCTCAGACTGAAACCTGTCACAAGAGGCGATTTTAGATTCCCTCATGAAGCAACTTCATGAGGCTTGACAGTAGGTGTTGCACCAGCAAGAGGGTTTCTTTTTTAATATACAAATTTCTTTCTTCACTTTAACAAAAGGAGTTTTAAAGACATTCCAAAAATATTCCATTTTCTTTGGGTAGAACTTGAACATGTGTTAACAGGGTAGCTGGGGAAAGGAACGCACGTAACACTTAAATATGTAATGAATACTTATCTGCATAGTTGATATTAGTGACTACTAATCAAACTAAGGCCTTATCTGGAGAAAGTTGAGAACACAAGAATGTTTCTTCTCCCACCTCCTACTCCACTGGTGAAATCTAAGTAGTCTCAAAGGAACTCTGGCTGTGTCAGCAGCTACTTGGCCTGGTCTGCAGCAGTGTTATCTCCCAACTGCTTTGGGTCAATTCTCTCACCTTTTCCTCTTGGTAGTGGACAGTAACAAATGTAATTGTACCTGTTCCTAGAATATATTTGCACATCCTGGAGCATGATAGGAGTTAGTGTGCACTGCTTGTTTTGGATTACTTCACTATGAAGAAAAACTTGTTAGTTAATGGTTATTATATTAGCAGGAGCTGAGGGCAAGGAGAGAGGATGAAATCCACTTCTAGATATAAAACACAAAAATGTCATTCTTCTAGAGTTGCTCTGTAGAACTATAGCTATCAAAAAATGGCTACAAAATAACAGAACTATGTCCTTGACTACTGACAAGATTAGCACAGTATCATCTACAAGGAGTGTGCAAAAAAAATGGCCCTAGGGAACCTTTGTGCTTCCCCAGTTTTGCCATGCTGAGATCTCTCAGCGTAACACAGCAGCAGTGGGGCTTCCCACAGCCCTCAAAGGCTATTACAGCAGCAGGGTATCACTGGGTCACAGAATACAGGCAATGAAGCCATACCAGAAGCTTCCACAGCCAGAGCACTCCCCAATGCAATGGTAATCTTTCATGTTACCAAGTCAGCCTACTTACTTAGGCAGTGATTTCTAGAGTAGCAGATGCTGATTTTTGAACAGCCACGTGTGAAAAGCACTGCAACTAGCAGCACCAGCTGTGGATAACTGATCTCTCAATCAGCCTAGGATGAAGAGCAGACATGCCTGAAAGGAACTAATAGCAGAAGAGACAAGTAGGAGCAATTCACTGCCATAGGTGGATGTGGCCAACTACTGAAGTCGCTCTCAGCAGCTTACATAAGGCAGATAAGGAAGCACTCTAACTCCATCTGAACAAGCTACCAGCAATAGCATTCTTTCTGACTGGCACCATTAGATTGGTAAAGATTATTTAAAAAAAAACAAAAACAAAAACAAAACCACAACAACAAGAAAAGAAACAAAAAACTATGGCCTAGTTTAAGCAGGTTCACTTAAACGCAATACAGCGGTTAGGCTGCCACAGGAACATGTTGTATTTGATATCCTACTTTTAGCTCTCTAGATGGACTGTCAACATCAGTATGAAGGAATTCGCTAGCCATTCTCACTCTGGTTTCTGAAAAGAGAAGGTAAACAGACCTTTTTCATACTGCAACTCAAAACTGTATCTTCCCCAGTGGAAACACATCACAGAACTAGCAGTCTAGTGATGCTTGTGTAAGTTTAGCATTTGATCAACAGATGAATTGCTAATTTCAGGTACACATGATTGCAACAATAGTAAGTTACATGTATCCTCAGCACAGAATTATTAAAATTACTAGAAGTTCTACTATAGATTGCTAATTTTGTCAGAGACAAGGAAATAAGCAGACACTGTTTTTAGTGTTCTGCACCTAACAATACATGATCTTACTGTTTGTTATTTTAAGAGAACAAATGAAATCTCAGCAAGAAAAATTACAAGACAAGTACTTGATGTGAATGACTTAGGCAGCTTGCAAAGTACAGTGAAGTTAAACTTCAGAGTAGTTGTACTCTTGCAGGTTGTAACGAGTTCCTTCTTACACATAACACATGGTAGGAAGGGACAATTTTAGTAAATGTAAGAATCCTTGCACAAACAAGTGTCAAAAGACATGACAAGCTGTACACAGGATTCCTTGTGATTCATCTCCACTCAAACTTGTTGAAAGCTATTTTCATCTTCTTTCCCCACTCCTTACAGTTATGTTAGCCACACATTTGTTTCAAATTCAGTAATAGTGTGAAGTGGTCCAGTATTTAAAGTTGTCTGTTGTATTTGTGAACTAATTAAGACCCAAACTTAAAACCTTCAGAGAAAAATGCAAGTAGTTCTATTCCCATTAGCCACTTCTTCCTTTCTCTCACACACGTTTACACACTCACACACACCCCCCTTTACCATACTGCCACCTTTGCCCAAGCGTTCATTCTTCGTATGCAAACATTAACAGAGACAGCAGAATGGCGTACTATGCGTTACAGGAGCCTAAGGAAAACTGCAGTGTGTGAATGTGTGCAGGTGTGAGAGAAAAGAAAGGACAAACATACAGAACCAACGCCATGGTACAGCAGCTACGAGTCACATACATTACACACTTTTTTCTTTCTTTTTTTTTTTTTCTTTTTTTTTCTTTTTCTTTTTTCTTTTTTTTTTTTTTACAAAAGGGAAAAATAGTATAACAGCATAAAGCCATCTTGGCAAGCTTAAGATTTTCCTCCAAAATGCCTTCTAGCACTTCAGGATCTCTGAGAACAGTTTAAAGAGGGTAGGAAAATAAAATAAAAAAAGGCACTTAAACAAAGGACAAAGGCCTGAATCAAGTAAGTCATGGAGGGTAACAGCCATTTCACCAGAGCTTGGGCCAATCAAAAAAGCTACCAACTTAAATTTTTTTCAAAATTAAAATTGCATAAAGTGTTAATTAATCAGTCATTTACCTACTGCTTTAACTTTCTGCATCATTTTATGAAAGAAAAAGCCAGTGTCCCTTTAGTGATTTCCCCCCAGTTCAGCAAAAGATGGAAGTTAGGTGTGGGAGGAATCTTTCCACGGCTTGGCCTAACAGCAGGCTTTCCTGCAACGCCATCTGCAAAAAAAAAACCAAACCAACAACAACAACAGCAACAAAAATAACAAAACAAAAAAAAACAAACAAAAAACCCTCAACCTCCAGAACAAAAATAGGAGAGGGACTACTGTGCCTTTAACAATTCACTCAGAAACAACAACAAAAACAAACAAAAACCACAACAACCCACTAAAAAAAACCAACACAAAAACAACCACAACCCAAACACCCCAACACCTCTAATCCATCTGTGGGCAAAAACTACTCAAAAGAAAACAAACTGTAAACTAGATTAAATTTTGCTAATAAATACAGCCAAAAAGTTCATTTTATGAATGTAGCAGCAAATGTGATAAAGTTAGTTGGGGTCCAAGACGACTCCAACAGGGTTAATGGTTCACACAACTGTTGTCAGACTGGGAGATTGCAGGATTTCTCTGTTTTCATGTCCTCAAGGAGCTTGCACCAGGTGGAGAAGGAGTGTGGAGGAAGGGTCAGGTAATGGGACTGAGGGACTGAAACAGGCTCTTGGCACCTGTCCCACCCCCAGATCTGTGCATCAGACAACTCTAATTGGATTCAAACAAGAAGCAGAACCCAGGCAATTAAAAGTTACTTCTGATTAGCAGAAAACAGATGTGAAACCCACAGCATCCACACTTGTGACTTACTAATTCAATATTAGTCTTGAATCAACTGACAAGGCTGGACAAAGTGATTTAGGCTGTTAGCATCTTGGAGTGAGAGAATACCGCAGTAATAGTCCAAGGTATCAGAAATTTTGCAGCCCATTTTTCATCTAGCCTGCCACCTTCTTTCTTACTTTGCAAATGTCTCAAAAGGATTTAAAATAGCTACCGTGGCTTTTGGGACTTTGGATCATGTTGCAGAAAACACTACCTGGAGGGTTTTAACATCTAAAACCTGTGTTTGAAATTATTGCTTGCATTTGTTTGGGGCTTTCAGTGAGCTTGACGTGGTAGCTCATGTACAGACCCCAAACCGAGTTCAGCCCTGCTGCCTGGAAAAGACAGCTCTACTTGGCTTTCTTATTGCTTGTGAATACTGAGGGTTATTTAATAAGTACAACTACAGTGTATTTATTACCAAAGGCCCTTAAAAAGGAGTAAAAATCTGGGGGTAAATGACTTTAGGAGAGCTGCTGTGCAGAAAATAGTAAAACATCAAATTAATTTTGCATTTGGACATTGCAGAAATTTTTCACTTCCCCATCCTGTTTGTGCAACCTGCAAAGGTCATTCAGAACCACTCTATTTTGGCCTTGCTTGGCTTAACACAGGAGAATAGGGAAAAGGCAATGCAGATCCTTTCATCACTATGCTGCTGATTCCAAGCAGCTCAGGAATATAACAACTGAGAACAGCTAGCCTCCGGTGGACTATCTGAACTTGCTTCAGGAAGAATGTATGGTCATCTTCATGCCACCTTCCTACCTATTTTCACCAGTTCACTCATTCCTCAAGACTCAATAGGCCACACAGACAGAATTCACTTCCTACCCTCAAGATTTGGAGTAGATACCCTTCAATTGAAGGTGAGGCATACTTCCAGGAAGAGAGGGATGTTGAAAGGAAATTTGTGCTGTTACTATAAGTCCCCCAGTCAAAAATTTCATGAAGCAACTACAAAGACAAAAGATGCAAATTTGAATGAGATGCCTTGATGAAGAAAACACAGAAGAGGTAGAACTCTTAGGACAGGGTTGTTTGGTTGTTTTTGTTTTTTGTTTGTTTGTTTTTGGTTTTTAGTGTGGTTTGTTGTTGCGGTGGTGTTTTATTTGTTTTTAATATATTGCTGCTTGATGGCTCACTGCTGCAACTCCCTTAGCTACTTGCATTATTGAAAATGTATCAGGTTTGACAGAATTCAGAGAACTAACATTGTTAGGCTTCCAAAAACTTCTCTTCCTTCAACCCTTCCCGGAGAAGAGAAAGAAAATCAGATAAAGTTGCACTCTACATAGCTTGTGGGATTTAACGTTCAACAGAATATGCATATTATTAGGAATGCAAGAGTCTACATAGCTGTATGTTTCAACTCTAAATAACCTTGACTGAGATGCAAGTTCGTCTAATCAACATGCCGCATACAAAACATTAGCATTAGCTAAAAAGCATCTAATTGGCTGACGCTACTGAGTGAAATTCAAGAACTAATGTATCTTATTTTAATTCAATGTGTCTTTTACAGAAGTGTTGTGCAAAAACATTTATTGCTGAGCTCAACCCAACATTTTTATACTAAATACACAATATATATTATTTTAGATTCATGTATATATATATTTTTATATAAAATTAAAATGAGCTCTAAATAGAAAAGAAATTGTTCTCTGGTCTAAGAAAAATAAGTCACATGTAAAAGTAACCTGAAAGCTATAAGTTAATCTAGCAAAAAACATTGAAGATTCCTTATCTGCGAGTCAAAGTATCTCTGGAAGGTGAGACAAGCTGTAGTCACTGGCTCAAACTCACCTCAAACTACTGGAAAGACTGGGTATTAAGAATTTCAGCATCTCTGATCAAAGGAATGTTTCAGGGTTGAAGGAGAAGGACATAATGCCATTTTAGTTGCTTCTTTCTCCTCATGGTTTATTTTAGTTTCTGCTATTCTCACCTTTTATCTGACAGCACAAGGGACTCAACAGCATAGTTCTGTTCTAGTGGCAAAAGTGCAACATGTGCTGGATACTTCCTAACCTTACAAATGAACCAGTCCATGTATTGCTATTAAAAAAAAAAAAGCCAGCTTTGCTGTCTTGTGCTACCATGTAAGGAAGAGTTCAGGTTGGAAACTCTTCAGGCCAGCAGGGGCTAGAAATGCTGGAGGCAACCCAATCAGCCCCCGGAAGAGAAGGCACCTCTGGTCGCTCTCGAACGACTCCTCTTTGGCTAATGCCTGAAGCAATATCAACCTGGCTCTGGAGTAAGTCACATTCCGCTTTCCTTTACTACCAAATCATGATAATGCATGGCTTTTGGGAGCAGTTGCATGAAAGATGAGAAAGATCTAAAATGGGTAAAGAACTTACCATGTTTCATAAAAGATATGATAGAACACTACTTAATTTTAGTAGGATAAACAAAACGGAAGGGAAAAGAAAGTTTAACAGAGAGACAGAAAAAAAATCACAGAATGCCTTTAAAAAAACAGATGTAGGAAAGAAATGCTAGCCTAACCAATAATATGTGGCTTTTCCTTTTCTGTAAGATGAAAAATTCCCAAACATCTTTCCTCCCTTGAGTAAGAATCATTATGTTAAAAAAAGAAAAAATAGAAAGCAAGGATCAAATGGTTTCCTAGTAGTCTCTCACATCTCATGTACCAGAAGATCTGTTTTTGAAGACAGCTTCTTGGGATTAATGTAGGCTCTCTATAGCCAAACAGCCTTGTAAAGCTGGAAGAATGCCCACATCAGAACCTGCATTTCTGTAAGTTTTTAAATACAATATAAAGTATCCCAGCACCACCTCTACTCTACACCTTTGGCCCAAAACCATATGGTACACTCAGGACCTACATATAATCTTATACCGGGCACTTCAGGAACTAATAAAGTAGATGACTTCACCTCATGCAATAGATGGAGAAACCTATTCTAGCTCCTCTCATTATTTCAACTCTTTATTGAAGATTACCCAGAAAAAAAAATGTTTGTGCTGCTGTGGGTTTGACAATCAATTTCTTTTAAAAGCCAATCAGAACAATGAAAAAAAGTTTGTTTCTTTAGGCGAGATCAAACTATGACCAGTCTGCATGACCAGGAGGAGGACCAGTCCCCCTTTTTTCCTTCTCTCTTTGATCAAGTATTGTTTTCTTTTTCTTCTTCCTCTCACCACAGTGCTTGGGATCAGAATATGTAAACATCGACAGAAACAGCAGCCCTGTGACAAATAAGCACTTCCCCAACTGGGCAGATTCTGTCAGCCAACCAGAACTGCTTCAGCTCCCTTGCTTGTCCAGAAGTCACTGGTTTTTCCGCTGTAACTTAGTGTCCCCTTTACTTTGGCCTCCATCTGTAGTTTAAAAGACAGAAAAGAAGTGGAAGAATAAAAGCATGAACAAAATTTATAACTTACAACATATTTGGAATATTCATCTTTAACATCACCAAAAAGTGGATTCTTTATAGTGTAGAGGACTTCACATATTTTCTATAGATCTTTTATTATTTTGGTTTAAATAGCACTGTTGAAACCCAAGACATCAAGCTATATACCTAAAGATACCACCTCACTAACGGGAAGTTGGAGCTCTGAATACCACAAAAAAAACCCAAAAATAAACCAAGAAAAATCAAGCTTTTCTTTACTTTCTGAGAATTGTAGGTCACTCCAAAGCCCTTGTGGTGACAAGAAAGTTGAAGTTCATACAACATACAGGTGATAGGTCTATTTTCAGAGCCCTGACACAACACTGTCCAGTTTTTGGAGCCAAGTATTCCAAAAAACAGGACGATGAATCCACAGAAACACTGGTACCTTTCATGTTCCCCTTCCTGGCTCAAAAAGAATTCCTACTAGTGCACCACTGAGACCTTTCAGCACTAGGTCTGACAAGCATAAAAAATTATTCTACTTCAAACTACTCCTCTCAAAACATGTAACTTTATTATCAATGTTAAAATTCCAAGGGAAGATTAGTGTTCCATTAGGAACGTATCACACTGTTCACATGTGCACATGAACTGCAAGAAACATCAAAAAGATTCTAAGCTTAAAGGTCAGTTTGTCCTCCAAAGGAGAAATTAAGAAGTAGTGGAAAAAACAACCCCCTTCCAGTGTAGACTATACAGCCTGTAAACAATCATGAGAATATCCAGTGAGTAGTAGTAGCTTTTTCTACTGGTGGAATTTGGAGGCTTACGTTTCCACAACTGCAATAATAAAGTATTACTGATATTTTTGAGGGTTTTTTCTTTTGTTCCTGGTATTGAACATAAACAGAAAAAAACTGCTCAATTTCTAAAACTACTGCTGTAACAGAAAATGCACTACCTGCTGCTACCAAAGCTTGTTCTTTTTCCTGTCTTCTCTAAACCAATTTTAAATAGTGTACATTTTATTTCAATCTAGAGCAGAAATATAACTTGCTTTTTTTAAGTTATAAAAAGTACTAAGAGAAATATTATCTTTACCTGTGTAAGCTTGCTGCAAGTGAGCAGGCAGAGGTGAGTGAGATAACGCTGCTGCGTGCTGAGCACCTGGCTGTAAACCCTTCAGTAAGTCTGAGAAAAAAAACAAGGAGAAAAACAAGGATGAAAAATAAAACTAAAAGACCAACTTTGCATTTGTGAAACAGAAATTAATGTAGTAGTGTGCTAATTTGCATAGATTTGTGAAGACATCTCAACAACAAAAATAAATACATACTAGTATTCTGATGGCTGGTATACAAGCCAATAAAACATACCTGTTCAGAACTAGTTAATCAAAGTCAGAGCAAGGCTCACGCCTCACTACTGGGATGCAATTCTTCATACTATTTCCTTTGGCAGAAAGGCCAAAATTGATACAGATTAAAAGCTTAAATAATTTCTTTTAAACAATTAGAAATAGTAAATCCTATCTTAGTTCACACTTTTTTGTAAGAAAGTGGTTTGGTACCACAGGGTCTAAGCTAAGGATATTTTAATGAATCATTATTTCAGGTCTCATCTTTGTATTGTGAAATAAAGAGAATATTAAGGCATTTCTTTCTAAGGACAAGAGAACAAGTTAACTCAAAAATGCATGATAAAAAACAACTATACTATAACAGTGAAGTTATTATCATCTATAAAAGGTGATTCTTAATATTTGGATAATACATAAAAAATTTTTTACCAGAGAAGAAATCACATTTCTTCTCTTGTACTCATTATCACAGAACTACAGCACTTCCCTTCTTAACTTCTGTTTTCAGGATGCCTCTTTCCACACAGCAGTGTGATAAGGAATTCCACTCACTCTGAGTTAGGCTGTGGTGGAAAGCCGCTGAGGTAGATCCCGAGGTGGTTGTCACTCCAGCTGTGTCCGTCCCAAAGCCAAGCAGCTCCAAGGGAAACTGGAAGGGCACAGTCACAGGAACAAGGCCACCCAGCATCCCAAAAGGAGTTAATGGTGCAGACGTCACGTTCTGACTGGTTACAGACAGGGGTGATGCCATGAGAGTCAGAGGTGAGGCGTTAGCCAGTAATGATGCTCCTGCTGTTGACTGTACAAAGAAAAGTAGTACTTCAACATTTAAAAGCTTTGAGTTGTGCCCTCTAG